TCACTCAACGCGTTTTTGCCGACCTTGTCTATGATTAGGAGTGCGAGATTAAATACTCGGTGTTGAAGATGCTTCACGTCCTCTTCAATAGCAGTCGCTTCCTATTCTCCATGAGACAGCGCGTGAATCCCCTAAAAAAGAACTTACTTCACAAGCATTAAGGACACAAACTCGGACACGATTGGCACCGGGATGAGCTCCGTCAGGCTCTCCAAAGTTTCCGCAACTGCTACGCCTCCTGTCAATGCGTACATCGCAGCGGTCGGAGTAACTCCTTCCCCCTTTGAAGTTGGCTAGATGGTAGAACATCGTTTTGATAATGATTTTATTGTAAGGGGGAGAGTATACATACGAGGTTTGTTTCGCTTTGCTTGACGTTTTTAGTTCTAGGAGGCCACCACGAGAAGCAGCCGACCATTGTACTGGAGGACGTATAGAATCGAATACGAGCGCAAAGCTGGGGTGACGGTTCAGACGGTTCAGACGTTCACTGGTTAGATATACTGTATGCTCAAGGGATGATCGATGGTCGCAGCGAAGATCTGTTAGATCATGTCTTCGTCGTGGTTCGGTCGTGGTGGTAATGCACTCGAGAGATGAGAGCGCAGAGCTTCTATTCATTCTGTCGCACGCTACAGCTATTTCAATTTTGGGGGATACAACTTCACAAACGCCCTCACTTCTCCGTGGATCTGTCACAGGTTGAAGATCACTGACCTTCGCTGACCTCGTTTTCGCTTGGGCCATAGTCATAGTAGTCTGTTACCATCGGACTCACTGAAGCAAGCAGGCAGCGAAGCGTGATGGATGATATATCGATAATATCGCACATTGTAGCACTATTTCTCGGCCGAGTATTTTTGTAGGTACGTGTGAATCGGGTCAGCATGAATCATACCAAGTTATCTGGGACTCTATACACAGTCCTCAAATGTAGGAGCCAAAGTGACAATCATCGTGCCGACAAGCTTTGTAGCAGTTTGAACAAAAAGGAACAGATGGCTTGCGCGCGGACCAAGACAGCGAATTCCCCGTCTATGCAGGAAGATGACATATAAAATATGGATCGAAGAAGAGTCGTGCACCATCACTGTTGTGTCTAGTCTGCGAACGGTATGCCTGCGCCTGCCTTGTGTAATGAGTTCTAAGATCTGAGCTCTTTTGTTTGTTCAACCATTCCGCTTGATGTTCTGTTTAGGTTCAGAGTAAACGATCCAAGCACGTCTTCATTTCCAGCAACTTGCAAGTTAGAGAAAGGCGTGAATTCTTGACACTGGACGAGGAAGGTGTGTGGCGGTTTTCGGAAAGTTTAAGTTGGGAGATGTTGAGTTTGATTACATAATTATTCGACCTTACTTACGGGCCACAACCGGACCAATTATCATCATGCGATTCCCATTCGCTTTGCTGGGATTAACTTCCCAGGTCCCTCTGCAATCTTCTGAACCATCGATGCAGAACAGTTTCCAGTTCAAAGAAGGCCCCGACGTGTTCTCGCCCAAAGATCTCGTTGAACTCGGTCGTCCCGGTGCAGGTGTTGCCAACCATGCCGGAGATCTAGTTCTTGTTCCCTACAGCAAATATTCTTTCGAGGAGAAAAAGTGCATATTTCTTTGTATATTTCTGTTCCTGCAGTTGATTGACACGCTTGTAGGAACCAGAAAACGATATTCATCGCTCCGTTGGAATCTACAGTTCAACCTTTCGAATTACCTGTAACTACCTTGTTACCTTTACTTATCTCGATCTGACACGTCGTATAGCTTGCTAAAGGTGGTGAAGCCTTTTGGCTCAACGCAAAGACAATTGCACACGCTGTCGAGGGAGAAAACAAGACTTTGGACCTTTACGCGATTGACGTCGTCTATCATCCTGCTACCGAAAGTTCCGCAGCAATCTTGAACACTGAATCACCAGTTCTACTTGGTTCATTCCCTACAGCCTCAGCCACCAACTTCCAGTACTCCACGGATGGTTATCTAGTGTTTTCCGACACAGTTTATGCAGACGGTAATCTGTCTTTGGTTAAAGAACATGATGAGGCTTGGGAAAACCGTGGAACTACCGCTTTCGTATATGATTACACATACGAGAGACAGTGGGACCACTGGATGGGACCAAAGTCGCAATCACTCTTCAGTGTTAAGCTTGCTCAAGGTCATGACCTGAAATGGACATTCGGCTCGGAATTCGTCAACCTCTTAGCCGGAACTGATCACGTAGGATTTCTATTCTATCATTGGTGTAACTTCATCTAATGTACAGCTCGTAGAGTTCACCTGTGGAACCGTTCGCAGAATCTAGTGACTTTGATGTGTCCAAGAATTCCGTCATTTATACCACACTGGACTCTGCTCAGAAGAAGGAGAAAGCATGGCATACCAGGCAGAATGTAGGTGACTCCAATCTCACGCTATTCATTTTCTGACATATATACAGGTATACATTGTCGACATTACAGGAGGAAAACCGCAGGAGCTTACTTCTGGAACTCAAGGCGCGACACATAGCCCTGTTCTCAATGCGAAGGGAGACAAAGCTGCTTGGCTAGAGCTAGACAAGGACGGCTATGAAGCTGACAGGCATGTGCAATCCTATCTTACGCTCACTTCACTCACCAGCGATTCAGAGCAAAGATTGTGATCTATGACCTCAAGAAAAACGTGAGGTTCACTTTGACTCAGAAATACGATCGTAGCCCGGATTCCTTGGCTGTAAGTAAACCGCTTTTCCATCGATACCATGGCTGAACATATCGTCTCTTAGTTTTCTAAGGAAGGGGAGTTCATATACTTCACTGCTGGCGACCATGGCAGGGGCAAAGTTTACGTCCTTCCTATTCCCGCAACTCCTTCAGAATCAACTACACACCCTGAACTAGCCGACATGTACCATCACCCAGTGGCGCTCGTCGAGGACGGCGCGTCTTCAGGTCTTCAAACTCTATACTGGGGCAGAATCTTAATTTCCAAATCGTCCTTCACATCTCCCAACGACGTGTTCCTTGTCAGTGGACTAACTGCTCTCCAGGATGAAATTACAGCGAATGGCGCAGCTAAATTCAACGGAAAAGTCGAACAGGTCACGAACTTTACGGCTGCTGATTTAGCAGGGAAGGACTTGAGCAAGGGAGAGGAGTTCTGGTTCAAGGGTGCAAATGATATCGATGTTCAGGGATGGATATTGAAACCGAAGGGATGGAAGGAAGGCCAGAAGAAGGCTCATCCGATTTTGTTGCTCATACATGGGGTATGGAATTGTTCAGTCGTTTCGACTTTAACTGACATGCTGTGGTAAGGTCCGCAAGGCGCCTGGGAAGACCAATGGTCCAATCGTTGGAACCCGAATGGTACGCCTTCCGATTCAGTCTTGTTTTCAATCTAACGTATGAGCTTTTTTCTAGTTTTCGCTCAGCAAGGTTATTTCACTGTCGCAATCAACCCAACCGGAAGTACTACCTTCGGTCAGGGTAAGTTGAGTTATTATGGATCATCAATGCCTACCTTGAGACTTACTACTTGTTAGCCTTCACCGATGCGATCGCTGGTGACTGGGGAGGAAAACCTTTCGTCGACTTGCAAAAGGGGTGGCAGTTTGTCCTTGAAAACTATCCCGAGGTGTGTTCCCCGTATATCCAACTCGCTGCGATCTCCTGATGTTATTTGGCCTTAGGTTGATGCAGACCGAGCTGTTGCTGCTGGGGCCAGCTGGGGTGGATATGCAATCAAGTAAGCTTTCCTCGTCTTGTGGATAAATCACTCTTATCGAGTCATCTAGCTGGATTCAAGGCCACCCGGAGTACAACTTCGGATTCAAGGTACGCTCGTTTTATTGTAGGTTGCGGTTGCGGTTCTGATGGGCGAACTCTTTTTCTAGGCTTTATTCTGTCACGACGGGGTATACCGATATTTTCTGATATTCGCTTGTTAGATGAGGCTGACATATTTACCAGGTCTTTGATTCGAAATACAACGGATTTTCGACCGATGAGCTATTCTTCGTATGTCAAATCAATCGATATCGTCTGTGCTTCCATTTACGAATTTGTCTCTAGTTCAACCATGATTGGCGTGGAAGGTACGCGGTCTTTCTCTGTTTAGTGAATTAGATCTGACTTGGTCGTAGACCATGGGATGAGGAGGCCCAGGAAATATTGCACAAGTAAGTCCCATTGAAGTTGAAGATCATGGCGTGCTTAGCGTGGACCATTCCAGGTTCAACCCCTCGAACTTTGTACACAAATGGAGTACTCCTCAACTTCTAGTCCATGGATCGAAGGATTTCCGGCTTCCAGAAACTGAAGGCATCGGTGCTTTCCATGCTCTTCAACAGTACGTTCGCTCCCCTTTGCTAATGAGTTCACGCGTAAATGTAATCCGTCGTTTCTTTGTAGACTCGGAGTGCCCAGTCGTCTCGTCATCTTTCCGGATGAAAATCATTGGGTTCTGAACCATGGCAATAGGTCTGTGTTTTATGTCGCCTCTCAATCTCCACACGTAATCTAATGGCTCTGTGTGCGTGTCAGTCTGAAATGGCACTACGAAGTGTTCAGATGGTTCGACCAGTTTGTGGGCAAGAAGGACTGAAGTTGTAAAGAAATTAAACGAGCTTTGTTTACTCGTACTGTAAATTAGCTGAAATAGCAAGCGAAGTTATCTTGAAACTCAGGTCTTCGAGATGACTGTCTCTTCTGCAAGTGGGCGTAGGCATAACCACGGATCTCATGAGCCAAGACCGGGAGCTCAACTTAAACTTGCTCAGTAAATGCCCGCCTGACCGCGACATCTCTTCATACGCGGGCAGGACCAAACCTAGGAGCTCGGCGGGCATGACGAGCCACGATACTGAAACGTTAGGATCTTAACTTGTCGTGATGGAAATAAAGAGAACAAAAAGTTGATTTGTGACGGTACATAACCTTCATTGGGCATGAAATTTTAGGATCGTTGAGTTGAGCAAAGTATATCGCATCGAAAAAAAACGTGTTCAACTATCCTTCAGGGCCTGACCGGGAATTGAACCCGGGACCTCGTCGATAGTTATGGTCAATATGGACGAAACCCTAACAACGAATCATACTCCTAGACCATCAGGCCATGTTAAGATTCTCCGAGATTGCTTATTGTATGTCCATGGACATCTCGTTCTAACAGTAGTCTTCTATAAAGAATATGAGACGCTTTGATGGATGTGTGCATAGTTTTATATACGCGTGACAGTTAGCTAGGACTCCAACACAGCAAAAGAACGTCCTCGCAAACAAATCAAAATCCGGTTGCGAAGAATCACCTGATCGCATCCTTTGTCGTCATCCTTCAATTTGACTTGAACGACCACAGTCGTTGTCAAGTTATCGACAATGCCCACACGGCTGTAATGCCTCCTGGAACACCCTTCAGCTGTTTTGCTCTGCCTTATCCCATTCGGATCGATGGATTCAGCGCCATTCCATCAGACTCATATCCACAAAATCCTGCTCTTCACCTTCTTCCACTCGTCGGTTTGCAGGCCAAATCTTTCGGTCATTCTGTAATAAGATGTTCAGCAGACGCTAAAACGATGCTTTTAAGACACGAAGTCTACAAAGAGTGCGCCTTTTTCGAAGGAGAATATCGTGCAGAGCACTTTCATCGGACCAGATGGAGAACTCTTGCATGCTGGCGCGAGAGACTTGCTGAAAGTGTTTCCGTTAAATACACCGACTAGCGTGGAATTGGAAGATGGCAAGGAAGTCATCATTACTCTTTTCGATGCAAATCATTGTCCTGGGTCCCTAATGTAGCCTACGTTCATTCAATCTTTCATGTGAGCCAAGACTAACTGCGTGTACCTCATTGAAGGCAAAGAAGGAGCTCTCCTACATACAGGAGACTTCCGAGCAGAGCCGTGGTTCTTGGATTCCGATAAACAAGGTTGCACCCATCATACTCGAAACCACCATGGATCCTTTGAGCACCCCTCCGCCCGTCGCTCCGAGTGTCATCCCCGAGTGTCATCCACCCCCAACCTGTCGCATGGACTTCAGTCATGAACAATATGCTGAAGCACCTACTTCCCCTGCAGGAAAGCAGTGAGCCAATGAAGCCATTCACCAAGTGGATGAACACTGCCGAACGCTACGTATGGATCTTCGCTCATTTGTTTGAAAACGCTCTAATAATTTATATTATCTCTAGCTCGCTTTCGCCCTCCTTGACCGCATGCATAACTTTGCTTCTAGTTCACCTCATGGAAGACAACACGAGTGACAAGCGCATGAAGGAATGTGGTGGCTAGCCATGGTTGTCCATGGACGTTGTTCTGGGAGCAAGCAAGATCATGCGTGGTCCTCTTGAGGACGATGAGAGACACGTCGCCACATGGATTCGTTACTGGCAGGGGCAGAGCTTGTTGCTGTGTGGTCTCTCTGTCTTGTTATCTTCCTGTTATTTAATGCTCATTGGGCGGACGTGTTAAATATTATTATTAGAGGATAGGATATGAATAAACAGTGTACATATTTGTACAGAAACTATTTTTCTTTGATTACCTCATTGTATGATAGCTTCTTTCTAGTGCCATGCGAGTTTGAGAATAGGCTCAACTGAACTTATGCTTTAATGCATGTCAGTACCCAGTACACATTATTGTTGCATTGCCAGCCAAAAATGCCCATGGGATTCCCTGTCCTTCCCCGTTCCTTCTTCAATACTCATCAGCTTTGCGGACCATTCAACTCAATCAGCCTCACAATCTTGAGCATTTTTTCTGTGTAACCAAGAATCCCCGACGCCTCATGCTAAAATCCCTAATGTACGCGACTGAGTACTTTCAAGTACGAAAAGATAGGTATCATACAGACACTCTGATCCATGCTACAATGACGGGTACACTTTACGCTTTACGCTTTAATTTAACGATACATCATATCCCGAACTGCGTAATCCCAAGAGTTTATATTTGCGTATAGGATCCTGGCACCCCACTTAATACGCCAAAGTTCATCCCAGATCCTTAATCCCCAATCCTTAACGCGAAATCCAAATCCACAACGCCTAACGATACTCATAACCCTAAACCACTAATGCCCCTGGGCCTTATGCTGCGCCTGGGCCTGCTGCTGCTGTTGTTGTTGGTGTTGCTGCTGCTGCTGCATCTGCATCTGCAAAAGCTGCTGCATCGCGCGCAGCTGCTGCTGCGTACCTATCTGCCCCATAGGCATCCCTGGAATTGCTCCTTGCATTCCTGCCATCCCCCCCGCCATTCCAGGTTGCATCCCCGCCATTCCCCCCGCCATCCCGGGCTGCATAGCCTGCACTGGGATACCCCGGTTCAAAGCAGCGATGTACTGCTGCTGGAACTGCAACTGCTGGGCATTGAGATTTGGGTTCGCGTAGCCTGGTTGGGCGGGCACGCTGTAGTACACGCCGTAGTTCGGGCCAACGGCGTGCGGCTGCTGAGGCTGAGACTGGGGTTGAGACTGGGGTTGGGGTTGGAGTTGCGACTGAGGACGAGGTTGCGACTGAGGATGGGGTTGCGACTGGGGACGAGGCTGTTGCGACTGGGGCTGGGATTGGGGCTGTGGATGCGCTTGTTGCACATTCGGTGACTGGGAAGGCGTACCCCGTCGCTGCTGCTGTAACGGCTGTTGTGGAATCGCCTGCTGCGGCAGCATTTTAGGCGTCTGACCAGGCTGTACGGTACGTTGCGGGGGTTCACCAGCACCCGTCGGATTCGGATTCGGATTCGCATGAACCGCCGGGTTTGGGTTCTGAGGCTGCCCTTGATTCGCAGGCATCGGCCGAAACTGCAGCGTCTGACCAGATGGCGGGCCGAGATGGCTTTGGCTTTGAGGTGGCATTATCCGTGGCGAACCCGCAGCGCTTTCTGCACCAGCAGGGTTCGTTTGACGAGGTCGAGGTGAGTTCGTGGTGGGGGCATTGCCGTTAGGAGCACCGTTGATCGCTACGCCGTTCGTGTTCTGGTTCGGAGTGAGCGAGGAAGGCATTGGCGAACGAGTGGCTAGTCTGGCGTTGGGTACCATTGGACTGGAGCGGACTCCGGGAGGTAGATGCTGCGCGCCGGCTTGGGCAGCCTGAGGTTGCATGTGAACCTGACCTGCTTGGCCTTGGGACACTGTATATCCCCGGTTAAACGCTTGATAGTACGCCTGTGCCTGTGCCGCCTGAGCTTGAACTTGAGCCTGAACTTGAGCCTGAACCTGAGCCTGAGCCTGAGCCTGAGCCTGAGCCTGAACCTGAGCCTGAGTAGTGGCAGTGGCAGCCTGGCCTGCGGGTTTATTCGGGCCATTTCTGGCTGCTGGAGGATGATGGAGAAAGTTTGCAGGAAGTACTTGTGGCTGGAATGTTAATGTTTGGGCCGGTGAGCCTGCCGGACGAGTCGAAGGGTGCTGGGGAGGTGGCTGCTGCTGCTGCTGCTGCTGTACTGTGTGATGGGGTGATGGTTGTACTGAAGGAGGTCTCGTCGAAGACGGACGAGCAATAGGTATCGGAGGCGGGCGAGGGGAAGCACGGCCTGGAAGAACAGATGGATGAGGCTGAGTATGGGCCATTCGAGGCGATTGGGAGAACCGTTGTGCGGGAGTAGGAGCACGCTTGGCATCGGATAGTTCCAAGGAAGCCGGATTATAGCTATGAGGTTGGGGAGAAGGCGAGTGATCTGTACTAGCACTATTCGGAGTATTCACTCGGCCATTGAAGGAGGGCAGTCCTCGTCTCGCAACGTCAGGATTATTCGGGAAATGACCTTGGATGTATTGCGTTGTCGCTTGAGGAGGCGGAGGAGAAGAGTGGGAGGGCGAATTGGATACGACGTAGCTTGGAGCAGGCTGAGGTGGAGGAACTGGAGTATGAGACGGCGCACGAGGCGCTGGAGGGGCTGTTGGTTTGCCGTGTGTTTTCGCTTGTTCTTCGCGAATCCGCTGTGCCCACTCGAGCTGTCGGAATCTACGGTCGTGAAATATGAGCGGATATCACATGAATCGGAAAAGAGACGCACTGTTTAGATGCACGTGGACTGCTAGGAGCCATGAACGACATGATCTTTTCTTTCCGTGCTTTTTCGGCTTCGTCCTTCTCTACATCCAGCGTGGAAGCTTTTCGTTTGAGAGATGGTGGTGCAGGAGGTGTGGTGATTCGGAGAACGTTGTTCGCAATCCGAGTGAGATGAGGGTTCGGATCGAGACACAGTGGCGCAGAAGTAGCGAGCTGAAGACTTGTTAGTATGTTTTCGTTAGTGTTTGTAGACCTTCATACCAAGATACGAGCTTCAACTTCAAGAGCTTGGAGATCAGTGAGAATTGTGGCAGAATTTGCGCTTATCAGGCAGAGGTCGGCCCATATCGTTTCTGAATTTGGATGAAGAACCTCTCGCGTCCTTTCTGGAGTTTCGAGAGCCGGTTCGGTTGGTTTCAGTGGACGATAGTCGAGTAAATCCACAATCAAGCATCCTGTGAGCTATTGAGCGAGAGTTTTCGCAAAAAAAAAAAACCAGCATCTTGTGTACCTTCAAAATACCGCACTCCAGATTCACGAAATACCTCGACAAAATCAGCGGGTATCCGATGTGCGCGAACATCGTCGAGGAAAGTCTACAAGCGAGTAAGATAAGATACTCGTTCTCTAGAAAGCCTTTCAAACCGCGTATTGATTATTGTACAGAAATCTTGAGCCCGAATTGAGAGTCCAATATTCTGGATGCAGCTGAACAATAAATGAAGGCGGTTCAGATTTGTTGCGTTCTAGTAATTCCTGATGAAAAGTAAAGAAAAGTTTTTCAAAACTTGAGGATATTCACCTGCACAAATCTTGTGCGATTATAGCCATCCATTCATGAAAGTTGTCGATGTCGGTGTAAAGTGACGTGAGAACTTAGAAGTAGCAAAGGTTATGTCACATGCACAGATACTCAATATGCTGTCACGTGGATAAATATTTCTTCAACTATGGAATCTCAGCTGAAAGAGGTTTGCTACTATTAGTTTCTCTCATAAAAAGCCAAACTGATTAGATATCCAGCTGTTACCTTTCCTGCGAGATAAAAACCCCCAAGTTCGCCAAATCGCTCTCGCAAATCTTCTGCCTCAAACTCCCCAAGA